CTCACTCAGCATTTGGCATGTTTGACAAACCTTTTACATTTTCTGCATTATTGCCATTAATGCTTTCCTGAGAGGTGTAGAAACTATTTTTTCATCACTGACTTCACCTCAGCTGGTATCTCAAACTGGCACCATTCTAAGTTGCTTCACTGCCGGCCTAGTACAGTGAGTGTGAATCCTTCTCAATTCTGTTCCAATCGAACAATGTGCAGAACAGTCTAGAGCTAAACAGCTAAAAAAAAAGAGAGATTTCTAGAAGTTGAAGAACAATTCTTGATATCTCACTTAAGTGTCATGACTGACTTCCGAGAAACTAAGCTGGCCATAATCAGTATATAAAGCTACTCTCAAGTACCATAAACAGTAGAGAGTTGTTTGGAGCACTTGTCAGGAGGTTGGCCATGAATGCACTTCTTCATAAGAGCACACAAAGGCATTGTCTTCACACACATGGACCTCTCAGCAAATTTGTACATTTTGGGTGGGAAATATAACACAAAAAATAAAAGTGAGAAAAAAGATACTATCTGTATAAAACCATCCATAACTAAATTTAATGATAAGGCATCACAGTTGTCACACCAGGAAGCCAAACTTTGGGTTCTTGGGCCCCTGACACTGCACTTACTAACTTCATTGAATGTTAGCCTTGTTATATGACTGCTCAAAAGCAGCCGTTTTATTTTCTTCCCCATATTTTTTCTTTTTCTATGAGATCTGAAAACAACCTATGTTAATTTTACAGAGCCAGATTGCACAATACATTCCTTCAAAAACTTAAAATTGAATTCTTCTTGAGTATCTAGATCCTGTGGATAAAAAGCTGCATAAACCAGCATCCATCCACACTATTGATGACAAGGCAATGTGAGCTGTGCAGGTTTTGAGGCTTCTTGCTACAACAGAGGTCCCATTACCCACTGCAGTTGAGTAAATGATTTCTTTTTTGTTGTACTATCTCCACTCCAGGTTCTCTCTTATGTTTACTGCTTGGCTTCAACAGTGCAGTGCCTGGGTGTGAAGAATTATGTGGGCAGAACCTAAATTTAGGCAGCAGCCAAAATGGCTAACCCCTGAGGCGATCCAGGCCAAACATTACATAGCACACAAGTTCATACAGAGTAGAGTGGAGGGTTAATCGGCCTGCCTGACGATCGAGATCTGAGAAAAAATCTGAAAAAGAGAAATCATATTTTCAATTACATTCTGTCAAGTCATACAACAAATTATATCCTACTGGTTGATTTTATTAAGACCACTAATTTTTTTTTCTAATTTTCGTTAAAAGATATGGAAATGCTAAAAGCAAATTCTAAATAATTGTCCAATCTATATTTAGAATTACAGAAAGTATCTAAGACTGCTAAGAAATCATGGTATTCCCTTGGATCCAAGAGACTTGGCCACCATGTCATCAAAAAATTTGGCTAAGTGCTGAGGTGACAGGAACGTGCTATCATGACAATTCAGGCTGAAAGCTGGAGTGATGGGAATGACTTGATATGAGGGCACAAAACTCTTAGATGATGTTTAGAGTCTGGGCATTTAGGAAGGAGCTGTTGCATTATTTCCATTGGTATATGAATGTGGAATATATTAGTCATGAGCCATGACTGGAAGTTCCAGGGATGAGACCATTTCCATACTCAGGATCCTATTCCTGCCCACCATGTTTTATAGAAAATTGAATGTAATGGAAATATTGAAAAATTATAAAAAATGCTACTTTATATCATAGACAATCTAGATATGATACAGAGTCTGTGCAAGGATATATTCTATTGCCATTTTAATAGAGCATATCAAATGACAAATGCAGGTCATGGAAAATGGGAAATGGGGAAAAATAGATGCAGAAAAAGAGATAATAAAATTGGAAAGGGTAGACAAATATATGAAAGTCACTAATCAACTAAGCTCAATATCCAGATTTTGGGCCATATACGGGAAAAAAATCACTTGGATCCAATAGACTAAGAAGGAAAATGTGTTTAATACTATATATTTCATTTAGGTGCATATATATACATAAAGATGCATATAAGTATAAATACATCAAACATACACACACATACACATATAATATATACATACATATATACATATATATATATATATATATATATATTATATATATATATATATATTATATATACATATATATATATATATATATTATATTTATATATAATATTATATAAATATNGTGATGTGTGTGTGTGTGTGTGTGTGTCATAAGCTCAGCTGTATGTGTGCATTTAGATTTTATTCTTATAGTTATAGTTCAAGTTATCTAGTCCTCGCACATTTGCCAATATATATATATTTTTTTTCTTTTGTGTGTTGTCCACTAACATTTTCATTTGGTTAAACCTTCATGAACTTGGTTTGCAGTGCCTGTGTGGTTACACATATATTCATAATCATGATTGTTTTGAGTTTATTTCATAACTGTATGAATTTCGCTTGCTCAGGCAGGTAAGCAAGCGTGAATGCCATC